AGTAGCAGAGTTACAGAAGTATCTAGTAGTCAAAAATCTTAGGATGTTATAACAATTTTGGAATATAAAGGTTATAAAAGATGAAAACAAAAATACAATATGCATAAATCAAGAACCATACGTATATTAAGTTTTTGAAAAATTCAGATGAAAAACTGCCACCTAACTCTTGCACCTTTGGATATCAACGAAAAAATTACTCACATAGACCTAAACAAGGAACAAGAAAATTTTCCATACCGAGAACTAATAGGCAGTATCCGGTACTTAAGTCAAATAACAAGAACTAAAATCTGCTATGCTGCTTTACGCTTACATACTTTTAATAAAAAAAATCTAGGAAAGGCACACATTTCAGTAGCAAAAAAAAGTGATTAAATAGCTAAAAGGTACTAAAGACTGCAATATGCAACACAACTTAAATACTTAGGATCTTGTAGCTTATTCTAATGTATATTAGACATGTCATACTTTAGATAAGAGATCCGTATATGTGTATGTGTTCCTTTTTCAAGAGATAGTAGTTTCATGGTCCATGAGGAAACAGTCCACTACAGCACTTTCATCACGTGAGAAAGAATAAATGACACTGACAGCCGCAGCCCAGAAAACACTATGGTTAAGAAACTTGCTTTCAGAAATACTTCCTAAATTGCTTAGTGGACCGAATAAGATTTTCATGGACAACAAATCAGTAATATACTTAGAAAAAACTGCATGGCGTATAAGCCACGTACGAAGAATATTAACTGTAAATATAATTTTATAAACGACTCGGTCCATTCAAGAATAATAAGCTTAGAATATGTGAGTACTAAAGAAATGAATGCAGATTTCTTAACTATAAGTTTAAGTTTAACTAAACATGCGTTTTGTACCTATGATGTTAATTTGATTTAAAGTATTTTTTTTTGTTATCTATTTTTGCTAAAGTTGTTGAATTAATATTTTCAAATTCGAGTAGAAGTATAAGTAATGAAAATCTTATACTATACAGTTTATTTTATTAGTATGGGCAAAGAAGCACACATTTATGTATACATCCATATATATAATAAATTTTCTCCTTGTACGCAGTACGAATAATTCTAGCATGTTACCAAAAACTACGTTTGCGCCATTTTATTATTCAAACCTCTATTTGTTATCAAAAATATGGCTTTATAAAAAATAAGTTGAATTGTTAAAAAAAAAATGAGAAGAATTTTTTTGCGTTTTTTTCAGTTAGTGTGTTTGAAATAAGTGCTGAGAACACTACATAATATTTAACTATCATGTGGCGCGAATGATGTAGAGCTGTCATCACCTTATTGACTTTCTCTCTTTTAAAACAAGTAAAGTTTTAGTTACACTATTTATTTTTTTTATGAAATCACTTTATCGTTATTTCATTAATTTATTTTTGATTTTTTTTATTACTGCCTGTAGAAAACTTTCTAATGACTTGCCATATTGTTTTTTCTCATTGCCTCGAAGACTGTAGATTCAGAATATTCTTATGTAAGATTCTTAATGATGAAAGTTAATTAATTCTGTAACTGCTTATCATCAAGTTATTGTCTTTGTACATTGTAAGTTCTGTGTAGCTTTTTTACTTACTTACAGGCACCTTAATTTTTACTAATATTTTTATGTTTTTACATAAAAATGCAGTGTAACGATTAATAAATATAAAAAATTATACTGTAAAAATAACAATACCTTATCTGTTTATTGTACATTGATTTTAATTTTTAGGTACATGTAAGAATCCTTTAATTTATTTGAAGTGTTTAGGTAACGATACTAGAATATGTTTATTTACTTTCTTAACACTGCTTATCGATCTTACAGAAAAAACTTATGGTTATCAATCTATGATAATTACTGGAAAATAACTTTGTTCTTACTAAAAAACAAAAATTTTTTTTTTTTTTGTGTCTATAATTTCAGGTGTAATGACCTTTTTCTTCCTTCAACCTTATTTTATTTTTATGTAGAACTATCAGTTTCTAACTTTATATTGCATGGATAGTATAAATCATTACAGCATACGTTAATAAACAATAAATTATTTTGCTGGAAACGATTCCTCATTAAACGAATTAGAATAAGTAGATATTATTTTTAAATATGACTTTTGTTATTATAACTTACATGCATCAAACGAACTTGTACTAAAGTAAAAGTACCAATTATGAAACAAATTTTCGCATTTTTTTCTGTATTGTCTTAAAAAAAGCAGACATGCTTTAATGTTAGTGATTTTGGTTTTTCTTAAATCGTTCCAACTTAAATAACTTATTATAATTTTTTTATATTATTTTTATGCAAAATAGACTGTTTTTTTATAATAAAATTGAAACATCTTATATGTCCCTATTATGAAAAAACACTAAAAGGCTTGTCCCAGTGTATTATAATTCATGTCCCGATTATGGAACTTCCTTCATAAAGTAATTTGTGGGAACTAATTTTAAGTTACTTGGAGTACGTTGCTTAAATGACACGATTTCCTTTTGATACAATTGCATTTCATGCCAATCAGTTAGTTGTATTGGAATTGAATTTCATTTTAAAAGTTCGCATCATAATACGGACAACTAAATATGTTAGGTTATGTTTTATTATGTCCCTATCATGAAACCATTATACAAAGAAACTTATTTTACTTTGAATTGAATGCTATAATCGAGCCTTTTCAGTTTAAAAATATTAAAATTAACTATTAATTGCTTAAAAATAATTTTTTGGTGATATTAGTTGTAAAATAGCATATATAGTTTCATGTTTCGTGAATTGGGACATGTTCCGTCAATTGGTACATTTACCTTTCGTTAGTGTTAAAACTTCCCACTGTATTTTTATCACATGGTACTGAAAATATCAAAACATTTATTTTAATTAATTGTCATTTTTAAATTGAATGTTTTGAAAAACGTTTTTTTTTTACATGTACTCGGCTTTGGTCAGTTAATAGGTTATTTAATTTTAAATCAATTTCTTTTAATGATGTGTAGTAAACACCGATCATCAATGTGATAATTTACTTGTACTTTTACGATCTTTTTCATGTTAAGTGTTAGTTTCATTGATATTTTTTCAAATATATTTTTAGTCAAATGTAGTTTTAAGTATTTCTACTTTTGAAAAAAGTGGATGTTGCAATCTCTTTTTCGATTGTTTTATAAATTGATAAAAATTATAAGTATTGAAAGAATCTGAAATAATTCTGACTACCTCATTCGTTGTACTTTTGTTTTCTTCTATAAACACAAGATTTGTAAAAAGAATGATTTTACGCAAGTAATCATAATGCAAAATATGCATGGTTATTTTTCGTTTAGAACTTAAACAATATCACAAAAGTAATTTTAATTCTTGTAAAAAATTTTCTTATGCCGTTTGATCCAGAACTTGACTATCAATCAATTAGTAGTTGAATTTAAACTATGTGTCAAGAAAGGTGAAAAAAGTTTTACTTGTTACCTCTGTGTTAAATGTTTCGTATAAAACGTAAATATTGATCGTTTATAGGTTGAGTCTATATATTTTTTTTTATTTGCAAAAATTTTTGCGACTTGAACGTAGTCGTGTTTTGACTTTTTAATGTATTAGGCATCCAATTATAGCTAAGGTGAAAGAAATTTTATCAAGTAAGTTTTAACCCTAAGTATGATATTCAACTAAGTTCAACTAATTAATAATGTGAATCAATTATTTCTATCCTATTGGGTTGAGAATATAAAATGTACTATTTATTAACTATGCAATCATTTGCTGTGATTAATAATAACTTAAAAAGCAATTTTCATTAAAATAATGTACTTTGATTGCACGTAGAAAAAAAAAACTCTGATAAGTATTTATTTGTTTCTTGAATGATAAGTCATGTTGCTAACGTGAAAGAAATTCTGAACCAGAGTAAGGAAGTTAAGCAAAAAGCGTAGGTGGGGACTGCTATACTAGTTAATAAATGTAAAACTTTTGCACGCTTTTGTGACTTATTTATATCACCTGGTATCACTTGTTAATACATTTGTTAATAAAAATTTTAATCATGTTAAAGGTCATTATTTTATTTTCTGTTTAAATAAACCGGTTTTTCTGATTAGTTATCGCACGTGCAAAATTTCTCAATTAACTCGTTTCTGCGATGCCGCCAAAAACTGTGCTTTAAAAGAAAAATTCATTTTGTCTAATCAAGTTGCAAAATAATTGCCTCTGTGTAATCAATTGAATAAGTAATTGTTTAGTATAGTGCAACTTGTAAGTCTGCACAACTAGTCAGCGAAAGCTGCCTGTAATCTGTCTGAGTACTGAAAGCGTGTATTGAAAGTTATGTAGTTTATGAGCAACTAAGCTTGTATATTTTTTTTTTTTTTTGGTTAGCTGTGACCATGCGTCTTATTATAGATTTTCTTCATTACATTTATAAAAAAAATTGAATATTCAAACGCCTGCTGCGATAGTATCTAAAATTTGTATTCTTTATTTTGTGTTGCAGGCACCTTTCAATTTCGACTAGTTACATTTAGCTGACTAAGTATCTTATTATGTGTACAAGAACTAATTTTCAATAAAATGAAAGAGTGATATCTAGATCATTTATTATTACTCTCCTCACAAACATCTGCTGCTTCTCCTTAGCTTCCTAACAAACTTCATCAAATCGCAACAAAAGTTATAACATGTTTTAAAAATAACGAAGTAGCAGTAAGTTTAAAGGCACTTTGATAGTTAGAAAAATGGTTGTACCCCTATGTGCTAAAAACAAAGCAGATTATTTACGTTAGAACTGGATAGCATTTTGTCGCACTGAATTAAATTTTTAAAATAACTCTACTGTGTACAGTAATCTTGGACACGACATAAGACTTACATCAAAAATTAAAAAAACAGATTAAACGTATATTTTAAAAAACAATTTTCCCAAAAAAATTTTATCTGCACATATTACAATACTTCACACAATACGATTCCAAAATTCTAATGTTTAATAATTACGTCTATATTTACAGGCTGAAGAAGGAGCTCAAACTTCTCAGATATATTCGCAACTACTAGCTGCATATTTATTCAAAAATCAATTGTAAGTTATTCCTAAATAATAATTAAAATAAATAAATAACAGTCAGTTTTTAAATTATCTTCCGATAAATAGTAGAAAATAGAAAAATGTTTTCAAGTATTGTATTCAAAACTTTTATACATAACTTTTGGGAAAGCTTAAATAACTAATGGTTAGCTGCTTTATTTCCATGTGTAGACATGGAACATGACATTACTATATTAGATGCAAATTAAAAGTAAAGGCTACCTGCCCACCGTTGTTATAATTATGTGATCTGAAAAATGTTATTCTGTGGACTTTTCCCTTTCAACAGTCAGCTCAACCAATTATGATTTCTCTTTACTTTTTGCTTGACCACACATAGTCACAGTTCTCTATAAACACTCAAAAAATGTACGGTACAGTTATCTCAACTGTGCTGCCACTATGACTGTATTTGTCCAAACAGACAGCTAAAAACTCTGTCTTCTTGCGAACCAAGTACAGTCTGCTTGTCATGACCAACTAACAAGAAAAGTATCCAAAGTTGTCGGACGCTAATATTACTGAAATTTCGACATGTAATAAGGTATGAAAAAATATTAGACACGTGTATTTTTTAATCGGCCCATACGCAGTTCTTAAGGGTAAAAACAACCCCTAAAATTCATTTTCTAAAACCGTTTTTCTTAAATATCTTGGCCTCAACTCTATACTTTATAATTAAAAAAGCAGAGGTTATTTCTCGCAAAAAGGACGAGTACGTTACATTATTTTAAGCAGTAAGCAATAAAGCTTACGTGTTTTGGGCATTTTTACAAATTTTACCGATAAAAGGGGTAGAGCACCCCTTAGAGAAAAAATCAATATGTACATGTTTTAAGTCATCTAATTTCGTTGATATTGTAAGGGTTTTTGAGGTCACCGATTACAAATATATCATCAGATTTTGTAAATTCAAAATGGCAGATCCTATGTAGTGGACAAAAAGGCGAAAAAGTCATAATTTCAATAGAAAATTGTGCACTAGTTTATCAGCTAGCTGATTACGTATTTTATATCAATTTTTGAATATTCAAAATACCTCGTGCTTTAAACCGTTCATCTCCAAATTCCTATACCCCAAATAGGCTGGAGCATAGTGGTGCCAAGTAAAGAAAAAAGTGCTAAAAATTCGTGGTTCACTGGAATTTAAGCTTGAAAAAATCGTTTCATAACTTATTTCGTTCCTTTGTTAAGCTCTTAAAAAGATAAAGTCTCTTGCTTGTGTATCTAAATGCCGAATATAGATGTATAGTACATCGACATGCAGACTACTAATAAAATTTCAGTTTTTCCCAGATATCTTTACGAATTTTCGACTGATTGAAATCATTCTTAATGGAGATTGAAGACGATGAGAAATATTATGACAACAAATTTTTTCATAATTTTGAGTGCAAAATTAAAATATAAAACCTCTGACTATCTCATTTTTTTTAATAATGAATATTTTTTTGGAGATAACATACCTAACTTTTAATAGAAAATAATGTTTCCTAATAGAGGTTAAAAATAGTATAAAGTAACGTTACCGTTTTGAAGCCATATTCTAATTTGGAAGTGCTGATAGTCTCGTTTTTTCGAAAAAAAAGACGTTTTTTCGAGATAATATACTGAATTTCAAAATGAACAATAATTCTCGATGATAATTGAACATAGTATCAGTATAATTAAAAAAAACTCTTCAAAAATTTCGGCACCTAAAAGCATAAAAAAATCTACAGTAATGATACTTTATACTACCTTTCACTCTTGATCAAGAATTATTACTACTTATTTAAAATTCGCTATAAAATATTGAAAAACAAAGTCATTTCTTCTAACAAATGAGATACTCAGCGGTTTAGATTTTAAATTGGGCTTAAAAAATTCTCAAAAAATTTACAGTCATGTTACTTGATACTATCTTCAACCTCTATTAATAATTATTACCATTCAATTAAAACTTGCCATTATATCTCTAAAATACGTCTATTCTGTGAAAAAACGAGATAGTCAGCTATTTAAAATTTGAATTGAATGATAAAAATTATTAAAAAATTAAAGCAATAATCCTTTGAATTATCTTCAATTTTCATCGAAAATGATTTCAATCAATGAAATGTTCGTGAAGATATCTTGGAAAAGCTGAAATGTTATCAGTTATCTGTATGTTGACGTGTTATACATAAAAATAAAGTATTTAGATACACAGGCAAGGAACTTAGTTTCTTATAGAGCATAACAAAAGGAACAACCTAAGCTATTAATCGATTTTTTTAAGCTTAAATTCCAGTGAAGCACGAATTTTTTCACTTTTTTCTGCATTTGGCAGCACTGTGTGGAGGCCTGAGCATGTAAACTGCAAAATCCCAAACCCCTTAACCCCAGACAGGCCAAAGGCCTGTGTTTCTTAATTGATTAATCTCAAACCACTAAACCCCAGGCAGACTGTAGGTCTATGTATTTAAACCGCAAAATCCTAAACTCCTAAGCCCCAGGCAGACCAGAGGCCTGAATGTGTAAACCGCAAAAATCAAAACCCTGAAACCCGAGACAGGTCGGTGCTGTGGCCTGTATTTTCTAATTGATAAATCTCGAACCCCTAAATCTCAAGCAGGCTGTAGGCCTATGTATTTAAACCGCAGAATCTTAAACTCCTAAATCCCAAAGAGGCTAGGCCTGTGCATATAAGTCGTAAACTTCCAAACCCTTAAACCCCAGTTAGGCCGAAAGCCGGTGCTTTTAAACTATGAAACCCGTAAACCTTAAGTCCCAGACGAGCCAGAAATCTGTGTTATTAAATCGGAAAACGTCAAACCTTTCAATCGGAGACAAGCCGAAGTCCTTTGACTGAACTGAAAAACTCCTAGCTCCTAAGCCGCAGACAGGCCGGTGACATATTCATAGTATTCATCTTTTGTATTTAGTTATTCATTCATTTATTTACTTATTTGTTTATTTATGGGACTTACTTACTTCTTACAAAAATAGCAACAAAACGAAATTAGTGAGTAGTGCCAAGTAATTCAGTAATATAATAAATTTTTCTTTAGAAATACCTTAATACATTTAGACAGTTACATTTCATGGGTAAATCAAAATATTTATTTATTTTCACACTCAATAAACAGTTAACATCATTACAATACAAGAATACACAGAATTGTCACTTTAATTATGCTCAATAAGTCTGTGATAATCTCATAAATAATAATGAAGTTTAAAGAAAAAACGTACCTTGAACTGTATTTAATGTTTTCGTTGATTCGTATGTATTGGATTTAATTATTGTGCACGATCTGTATATTATTATATGTAAAAATTGTTACTCATTATAATATTATTTATCATTATATGATTTACAATAATGATAATCATGAAAGAAATGGGTTGAACACAACGTTTTTACACTACGAGAATGTTATAATAGCCCTTTTACCATTTATGTCGCATTTTACATACTCAGAGTTGAAACAGTTGTCCAGTATTTCATAGCTTTTTTTATAATCTAAATAAATCATTGGTTTTTACACATTGGTCATCTTTATCATGTACATCTCTGTCGTCGTTTACATACTCATCATCTACAGGAATATCATCAGATGGTATAAAATTGTCGTCGTGTTGTAATGCCTCTTCCACTTCATCATCTGTACCTCTTACTTTTACAGAACTTTAAATAATGTTAAACAATACTTCTACTACACGTTTTTCTTCGTCATTTATTGGTAATTTATTTTCTTGATAAAAATCTTCCAACATTTATGTTAAAATAAAAACTACAATGATAACGTGTATGTTACGTACGAAAGCATATAGCTATGCGTGCGTGCGCCTCCGTTGGCTTGGGCCCGAAAGGTAGGGGAATAAAGAGGAGAAGTGCTAAGAAAGGGAGAGCGAAGAAAGAGAGTAAAAGGAAGATTAGCTAGGGACGTGAAAGTGGAGGGACCAAGTCCGCGAGACTAAAATACAAGCGTAACTTCCCTCGATTAAAAGTAATTCTAATAAAGCACAAGTTAATAACAAGTCATGCTTTTATATAATCCCACACCGAGAAACCCAAGTAACAGCTGGTGTCAGAAGTGGGATATAGACAAAATTTTTTACGGTCTGTCTCGTGTGCTGAAATTACTTTGTCTCGCGAAACAAAAATTTTTTTTTAATTGATCAACGTAATGAACTTATAACAACAACAAAAAAAAGAAAATATCTCTCATCAAAAAAAGTGTTATACATGCCAGATGCCAAACTCAGCGTGTCAAGCACAAAAACATAAAAAAACTCTAAAATTTGGAGGCGGAGTAAGAAGGAATGACTGCATATCAAGCAAACGAAACAACATACCGGAACACTAGAGGTAACTGTCAAACACCGAATCCAGGGAAATACGGACAGAAAGCAAATACGGTACGCCGAGGGTGGACAGCAGCCACAGACGGAACATGGGATACACTACACAAAAAAGAGAAACAACAAAGAAAAGCAGCAGCAGGTCAACTCCCAGAAGGATCCAAAGGCCAACTTATGGAGATACACAGGATCATCAGCGCACTAGCCGTTGTGACAGAGTTCTGTTAAGTAAATTTCCAAGTAGTTTTTATATATTACACTCATAACTCCCGAGGGAAATACGCACTCAGAGAGATAGTTTTTATGCATCGATATTATTATCAAATCGGAAACTTTAACAACATTGGTAGTGATACGTAATTGCATACACGAACATATACATAATAGTTAAGCGAAAAACATCCCATACAAAAAATAAACAATAAAAATTTAATTTATGTATATTAGATGGAGGAGGACGAAAAACCGATAGGGACATTAAGGACACGAACATTCACGAGATAATACGGGATGACATAGACAATGACGTAATATAAATCAGCTTAGAGCATGGTACGGAATCATGGGCAGAGTGGCGGAAATCGAGTAAGAAAAAGAAGCTGTTTATGATAAAGATGATAAAAAAACTCACATCAAACATAGTAAGATAGAAACGAATCTGGGAA